CTGATGCTGCACTGTTTTGTGCTTCAGGGTTCCTTCCCTATTTAACAAAACATGAAATCACTGAGAAAAACAATTCAAGATTTGGGGTTTCCATGTCCTCCTGGTGACATCCATCCTTACACTAAGGAGACCCTTATCCTAAACATATCCAGGGAACATCTCTAGCTAAAACTGGAGCCAGGAATCAGTATTTGCAACACAGTATAAAAATGCATGCACTCTATAGAAATTTTATTTGCATTCCACACGACAACTAAAGGCATGTCACTGTCATCTTTAGTAACTCAGCATAACTCTTTTAATAACTCAGCATAGAACAGTGCCAACTCACAGGCAATCCATTTGACTTCTGTAACCATTTACAGTAGAGTCTCACTTATTCAACCTTCGCTCATCCAACGTTCTGTATTTTCCAGCGCAGTCTGCCTCCCACCTGGATTCACAGCTGTTTCAATACATTGCAATGTTTTGGTGCTAAATTCGTAAATACAGTAATTAATACATAATGTTACCATGTATTGAACTGCTTTTTCTGTTGATTTGTTGTAAAACATGATGTTTCAGTGCTCAATTTGTAAAGTCATAATGTAATTTGATGTTTAATAGGCTTTTCCTTAATCCTTCCTTATTATCCAACATTTTTACTTATCCAACGTTCTGCCGGCCTGTTTATGTTGGATAAGCGAGGCTCTACTGTACTAACAATGAGCTTAATTCATTTGTTTCGTTCTTCATTCTGATAATGTTCATATGTCTTTCCCCTTTCACTTCAGTTTAAGTGTATTTGCGATACTAACGTGAACTTTTGTCATTGGAACTCGTCAAACATTACCAAGAGCCCTTCTAAACTGCCATAAAATTTTCTCCATATATCACTAGTAAAGTTAACACTGCAATTACCTAGGTTGTGCAGTCCTTTGGTACACAAGCATGGATTTTTGAAAAACAACCATAATCATCTGTTCTGAACCCAGCAGATGAGGTAGTTGGATTTAAGCTGAAGCAACCATGCCACAGTTATATAATCGCTTCAGCCAATGACTGAGAGATGGACCAAATTAGAGATCTATGCACACTTACTTCTTTCAGCAATTAACTAAAGTGGAATATCGCTGACCATGTGTCACTACTGTTTACTAACCAGATGTTTTCTAAGCAGGGTTCCAGGGACATCATGCTGCAGCATCTTTTATCCCATAACTTGAGCTTCTACCACAGCATCCCTTTCAACCCTATATTATTCACTGCCAGAATATATATCATTTAACCTCCAGCTCAATATGCATCTGACATGAAAATGTATTGAGTTCTATAAACTAAATCAAGTTGTATTAGACACATGTATTCAAAGATAAGTTGAGAGTACTATATTTCAAGATACCTTTATACAGTTCTCTTGATGACAGGTTATTTTCTTTCCCTCTTTCTTTCTTTATAAATCGTGTGACATCAAAGGGAAATCAAAGTAAAACATAGTATCAGTTTCAGTAATAGAAAAACATTTCTAAATTTATCCTGAACTTTTTTTTGTCAACAAATGGCTGGCTGCCCACATTCACTCTATTGAATTGATTATAAGGTTACAAATCCCCCTCCCTAACCTTCAGTGTTGACAACACAATTCCTGCAAAGGGGGGGGGGGATAAATTTTTACTGGCGTTGTTTATGAACTGGTGCGTTTTAGTAGATTACAGGGCACTACTGTAGAATAATCCTACAAAAGCTAGCTGCTGCATCAGCTGTTTCTACACTCTCTTTACACTGTCAAGGATTTTTTATGGTACACATCCAAAGTAGTGTATTCAATAACAAGCATTTGTTTCTTCATTAAAAACTTGTGGGGCATGTGTTTTTGATATGCCCTGAGTGACATAATCCTGGTGGTACTATTTTGTTATTGTTGTGTGCTTTCATGTTGTTATGGCAGCCCTAAACACCCTAAAAACACCAGATCCTGTCTGATCTCAGAAGTTATGTAAGGTCTGCCATGGCCGGTCCATGGACGGGAGACCACCTATGAATAACAGCTGCAGTAGGTTTTATTTCAGATGAAGAAACTGGCAAAGAGAATTCCCTGCCTAAGAAAACTCTATGAAATTAATGGGGTCACTGTAAATCGAAAGACAACTTGAAGGCACACAGAAGACAAAGGTATCATCTCTCCTCCCAAAAGAAAGTGCTATTGCAATTCATATTTACTACACTATGTAGCATGATTTTTTGTTCCTGCATTATAAATGCCATTTCCTAATTTCTATCATAAAAACATGTTAAAAGTTTATTAAACTGTACAAACTTTGTTCTTGCGGGACATCCTGCAGCACATTTTCTACAGTATAGTTTTCATCCTGTCTCAACCAATTCAACATAGTTTGTTGCAGCCGCAAAAACAAAGTTTCTGGAGTATAAACTACTTTCAAAGTAAGTAACACATAATTAAATAGGAAATAATACTTTCAAACCAGGAACATATTTTTTTGCAAAAATTGCTGCAAAGTGCTATTACACCTCACGGATCCAATAGCTGAAAGAATCCACAGTGGATCACCATAGAGGGATGTGTACTTTTCCTGATGCTTGCACCCTCTATGAAAGCTTCAGACCTCAAACACAACATGCACACACCACTATGTTGGTAATTAGATCATGGAGGATGATTCCTTAAAGTAGGCTAATTCCTCATTTGCGAAGGAAATTCCCCTCTTCTAAGAAAAGGCAATGGAGTCAAGTGAGGTTAAGGGGACTGTGGCTCCTTCCACACAGCTGTATAAAATCCACATTGAACTGGGTTATATGGCAGTGTGGACTCAGATAACTCAGGGATTTTCTGCTTTAATATTCTGGGTTATATGGCTGTGTGGAAGGGTCCAGGGTTATCTCAGACCACACTGCCATATAATCCAGTTCAAAGCAGAAAATTTGGGAATGGATTCAGTTCTGTGGAAGGGATCTAAGGGCTCTTCCACACAGCCATATAACCCAGAATATCAAGGCAAATCATTCCACAATATCTGCTTTGAACTGGATTATCTGAGTCCACACTGCCATATAATCCAGTTCAATGTGGATTTTATACAGTTGTGTGGAAAGAGCTAAAACTCATAGAGGTGGACGAGACTCCAAGGGCCCTCCAGTGCAATGCAGGAAAGGTACAACACCAAAGCACCCCCGGCAGATGGCCATCCAGCCTCTACTTTAAAATAGAGATGAGAAGAAGACTCCACCACACTCCCAGGTCCCTTCCCAACAGGCCCTATATCCCAGGATCTGATCCCAGGTTTTCTGCTTTCAATTGGATTATATGAGTCCACACTGCCAGATAATCTGGAATAAACAGAAAATCTGGGACTGGATCCCAGGATCCAGGGGGCCTGTCTGGAAGGGCCCCCAGGTAGCAGCATATCACACTGTTTACCATCAGTTCTTTTGAATTCATTAATAGTTGTTGTTGTTATTATTATTATTATTATTATTATTATTATTATTATATACCGTCCTATCTACGGGCCATTCCACACCTATATCCCAGAATATCAAGGCAGAAAATCCCACAATATCTGTTTTGAATTGGGTTATCTGAGTCCACACTGCCATATATTCCAGTTCAGATAATGTGGGATCTTATTCAGCTGTGTGGAAGGGACCTGAGTCCACACTCAGATATTGTGGGATTTTCTGCCTTGAAATTCTGAGATATAGGGTTGTGTGAAAGGGCCCCTGGGGCTAAACTGCCATATAGCCCAGTTCAAAGCAGATAATGTGGGACTTAATGCGGCTGTGTGGAAGGAGCCTCCCAGAAGGGACTCAGGGCAGTGAACAACAAAATCAGCAAACATTCAATGCTGTACAACAAAAATAAGTAAACACGCATCCCACCCAAATCCCAAAACAAATACACATTCATACCACAATTAAGGGCCCTTCCACACAGCCCTATATCTCAGAATATCAAGGCAGAAAATCCCACAATATCTGCTTTGAACTGGGATATATGACAATGTGGACTCTGATAAGACAGTTCAAAGCAGATATTGTGGGATTTTCTACCTTGGTATTCCGGGCCCTGAGTTACCTGAATCCACACTCAGATACTGTGGGATTTTCTGCCTTGATATTCTGGGATATAGGGCTGTGTGGATGGGTCCTAGGCTGGATAAGGATTATGTGAACTGCACATGAACAACACCTAGAAGACCTAATTTTCTTTAAATTTGATTATACCAGATATATAACAAAAGAAATATGTCTTTACACAATCCATGGTTCACTTATGAATTTGCTAAAAAGGTAAAGGTTTCCCTTGACATTAAGTCTAGTTGTGTCCAACTGAAGGGGTTGGTGCTCATCTCCATTTCTAAGCCAAAGAGCCGGCGTTGTCCATAGACACCTCTAAGGTCATGTGGCCAGCATGACTGCATGGAGCACTGTTACCTTCCCGCAGAAGTGGTACCTATTAATCTACTCACATTTGCTAGGTTGGCAGAAGCTGGGCCTAACAATAAGAGCTCACCCTGCTTCCCGGATTCGAACCGCCAACAGTTCAACTTTTACGGCCCTTCCACACAGCCCTATATCCCTGAATATCATGGCAGAAAATCCCACAATATCTGCTTTGAACTGGAATATATGGCAGTACTCAGATAACCCACTTCAAAGCAGATATTGTGGGATATTCTGCCTTAATATTCTGGGATATAGGGCTGTGTGGAAGGGCCTAAGACTCATTAAAACAGAAGTTAACATATAAAATTGACATGGAGCTCCCCTGTGATCCCCAGAGCAGCAGAAACCAAGCTTGTGCTGACATCCTTTCAAACATTTCAACAGGGCTCTCTCTCTCATCCTGTCCCCTCGCTCTCTGCCTTCTTCTTCTTCTCTCCAAGCTAAACAGAGGCAGCTCCATTGAGTTCGCCTCCACCTGTCACTGGGACCGCTTGGAAAGAGCCGCAAATCCCCTGAAGAAGTGGGGTGGAAGGAGGGAAAGAAGGCTTTCCACCTACCTGCGCCAGGGCTGGAGGCGGAGGCGTCTCTAGCAGGACCCCGGAGCCTTCCCAGAAGCCAAGCCCCTCGCCTGGTGCCATCCCAAGGAGGGAGAGAGTGGCAGAGGGAGTCTCGGGCTGGCCAAACTTTGCTGGGAAGCGAGGCAACGGAGGAGCAGAGCGGCTCCGTCCTGAGACGAGGCTGCCTCTCCCTCGCTCCCTTCCCCGGAGGCTKTGGTCCCTCCTCCTCCTCGTTCTCCTCCTCTAAATCCTGCGGGGCGGGCAGAGCCACTCGCTCCTGGCTCCTTCGGCTTGCCTTCTGCTTGCCTCTCAGCCGGCTTCAGAGTTTGGCTCCAACTTCGCGCCCGTCCCCAACCACAAGGCACCTGCCAGCCTGCGCGCGCAACCCTCCAGCCCTCTTCCCTCGCGCCCTATTCAGCCTCTGAAACACGCGCGCATTGGCGCTGCCCAGCCTGGGAATCCAGGCAGCTGGAGGCAGGCCCGCCCTGCGCATGCGCCCGCTCTGCCTCTCAGGTGCGCCAGTCTCCTTCTCTCTCCTTTGCATCAGTGCCGTCTCGCTGAAACACCGCAGCAAGCGAGAGTCCAAAAGTGGCAGGCTAAAACCCRGAACTTCAATCAATGGCTGCAAATGAGAGACTCCCTCTGGTAATAGTATGAAAGCTGGATCCAGCAACTCTGATGCTGTTTCCGCTTCGCTCCTTTGGGAGCGCTGTTTGCACAATGCAGAACTGAACACAGATATTTTAGAAGGAATGTAAGAGTTCTTTAATGATAAAACCCTAAACCTTACCCAAACCCTAAGACTAACCCCTAATCCTAATTCTTACCCTACGCCAAACCCTAAACCTTACCCTAACCCTAAGCATTGGCAGTCTTTAGGAAGAGCTTGAAGACGTGGTTGTTCCAGTGTGCCTTCCCAGAATAGGAAACTCCAAGCATCATGTCCCAAATGCACTTCACTAGAGATTTAAGATTGTCTGCACACCGCACCTGTCTCCAAAAACCTATCCATTTCACCTGTCATGCCCAGCATTTTTAAATTTTTTAATCATTACATTTGGCCCGGCCTTAGTTTTAAATGCGTCGTGGTGTTATTGCCTAATGTTAATTGCTATTGTTTTAATGTTTATTGCTTTGTTTTATGAGTTTATTTATTGTTGTATTTGTTATGCTGTTGTTTTATTGATGTGTTGGGCCTCGGCCTCTTCTAAGCCACACCGAGTCCTTCGGGAGATGTTAGCGGGGTATAAATAAAGGATTATTATTATTATTATTATTATTATTATTATAAGCCTAACCCTTAACCATAATCCTAACCCTTATTCTAACCCAAACCCTAAACCTTACCCTAACCCTAGCCCCTAAGCCTAACCCTTATCCTAACCCAAACCCTAAACCTTACCCTATCCCTAAGTCTAACCCTTACCCTACCCCAAACCCTAAACCTTACCCTAACTCTAATCCTAACCCTTATCCTACCCCAAACCCTAAACCTTACCCTAACCCTAACCCCTAACCCTAACCCTTACCCCACCCCAAACCCTAACCCTTAACCCTAWTCCTAACCCTTATTCTAACCCAAACCCTAGACCTTACCCTAACCCCTAAACCTAATCCTAACACTTATCCTAACCCAAACCCTAAACCTTACCCTAACCCCTAACCCTAATCCTAATACCTGTTGAAACAAACATGCCCCAGCACTCAATTAACTCAGTGTGCTGTATAACAGGATCTTGCCTCACATTGGGCAAAGTGAGACTGAGCATTCGAAGCTGTAGAATGTGGGCACCATTCTAAGAAACCAAATTGCAGTACTGAATTTTCAGATGAATGGAATACATCCAGCCACAATAAAGTGTATTAGGACACTTCAACCAACTAACCAGAGTATAGCTCTATTTCAAAAGGGAATTGCTGGAACAGTACAAATTTCAGCAATCATGATATCTTTTCTGCCTGTTCCATTTCACATGCATTATTTTTCCCCTTACCTCTCTTTTAAAGATGGAAAAAGGTGGTACTTCTACATTTCTGGGGTATAAGAAAAACAGGAAACAATACAGATTTCCTTAATATCAGTATTCCTGACCTACAGAATTTTCTACTTAGGAAGAGAAGGGATCTCTGTATCCACACGGTTTTTAATTGTTTGCAACTCTCGCAGTCCAAACGCAACAGGACTGTGAGAGTTGCGAACAGTGCAATAACCTTTAGAAGGACACACACATCCTTTTGAAATAGAGCTATATCCTGGTTAGTTGGTTTTTAAAATAATTTTTGGAAAGCAGGGACAGGACACTAATTTCCCTTCCATCCAACTGATTTGGGTTTAAAAGCCCAAGCTCTTTCAATGAGCTTTGCAATTAGTTGATTTCAGCAACTTGTGACCTTAAAAAGAGAGGCCTAATGATATTCAATAATTAGTAGTTATAATTTAAGCTTTGCACCAATTGTTGCAGTACAGACTTTTCTAGGCTTCAAAGCTCCCTGACCTTTTCAATTGGTCAGGCATATTGGTATATGATTAGAAACAATAAGCTCAGACTCTTACAATGAGCTCTATAATTGGTTAACATCAGCAATTTATGATCCAAAAGTGGAGCCCTAATGATGTTTAGTAATTAGTAGTTATAATTTAAGCTTTGGCTAGATTGCTGCAATACAGACATTTCTAGGCTTCATAGCTCCCTCACCTTTTTAAGTGGTCAGGCATGACAGTAGCATATGATTAGAATGAACTACAGTATAAAGCTTGAAACCTAAAAGGCACATTATCATACTTTCCTGGATTCTAAACCTGTGCTTTTTGTTTAAGTTAAACTACATAAAAATGGAGGAAGTTACAGAACTTGGATATTTACATTTAAGGTGAATGATTATAATGATGACCTGAAGCCAACTACCTTATATACTCATATCTAAGAGTAGACATTTCAGTAAACAAATCAACACAGAAAAACCTTGATCAACTTATCCATAGGTCAATATGATTACTTCACTCTTATCAAAAAAGCAACCATCCTTCTCTGAGCAGAGTGGCAAAACGCAAAAGCTTAGTTCATCCCCAGAAAACCGAAAAGAAGCACCAACCCCTTCTATTCTCCCCATTGTGTGTGCCTCTTCTGGCATTTTTGAATGTTTGGGTAAAAAAATGGCAATGACCAGAGGCAGTTGGGTCCCTGAGGTGGCATTGGTGCTTTTCCCTCTCTACAGAATGACCTTCCGTCTATTCATGGATCATATCAAAATGCATACTTTTGGCTCCAAAACCTGCTCTTGATTTATACATGGTTCCGACTTATACATGAATATACATGGTAACATCTGAGGCAAAACATAAGTACCTTATCTTAAAAAAAAAAAAAAAACCACAGGGCAGGTTGTGTTGTGTGCTTTCAAGTAGTTTCCAATGAACCTATTGTACAGTTTTCTTGGTAAGAGGAGGGTTTACCTTTGCCTAAGGTCATTCAGCGGGTTGCCATGGTCAAGCAGGAAATCAAATACTTGTCTTCAAAGTTATAGTCCAGCATTCAAACACTACACCACACAAGACAAGTAATAGAGGTTGAGTATCCCTTATCCACAAAGCTTGCGACCAGAAGTGCTTTGAGTCTCAGATTTTTTATTTTTTGGAAACTAGAATATCTGTATTTGCATATACATACATAATGGGATCCAAGTCTAAACACAAAATTAATTTTATTTTCATATATATCTTCCACACATAGCCTGAAGGCAATAGTATAAAATATTTTAAATAAAATTGCATATGACATTTATTTATTTATTGCATTTCTAGACTGCTTTTCTCACCCCTGGGGGGACTCAAAGTAATGTATGACATAATAAATGGCAAAATTAAATGCCTCGCACATATAAAAAATACACCACATCTCTAACACATGACTGTAAATTAAAACTATTAAAACTATAAAAACATTGGACATAGACATAACATTTTAAAACATTTCAAACATTGTACCAATCTGTACATTGTTTCTGTACATTGAACTATGACAAAGCAAATATTTCATTATCTCAGCCACCCATGTGGACTACTTTGGATTTTGGAGAATTTTGGATTTTATTGCACTCTCCAATGTACTTTCCCACTATAGAGCCATAAGAACTCTGGTGGACTGATACAGAAAGTGGTGTTCCATTAGATACATAGTCCCTGAATAATTTAATAACATAATTTAAGGCTTTGTAGGTTTTGTGAAGAAACGAATAGGCAACCAATGTAGTAGCTTCAGGATTGTACTCGTCATACAGTACAATTCTTGACAGTTTCCATTGTGATGGTTAGTCTTATGACCTCATCAGATGGCCTAAAATTTGGCGGCTTACACTGGTTCCTCTTCCATTTTGCCACAGAGTCTGCCGGCTCCCATCCCACAATGTACATTTACTCCCGGCGGGGCTCCATGGCAAAACTGAAGTGGAACCAGTGTACACCACCACAGCAGCAAGCTTCTTGTGTTATGTAGAGATCAACAGGGAGAAATTGTGCAGCGAACACTTCCCCCCGTGGGTTGAGGAAATGGAACGATGTGGGACCTAGGGAATAAGTTCCCAACTACCCGCACCAGGCACTGCCGGATTTGCAACACTCCATTTCTGGCAAATGTTATGAAGTCAAAAGGCAGGAATTTGGGAGGTCTAGGTTCAAACCCTCCTCCTCCCAAACCATGAATCAATCCCTCTCCCACTTTCTCTCTAATCTTACTCCATGGATTATCATGAGGATAAAAGGGCACAGCCATGTTACTTTTCAGATCACTATTAAGGGCAGCCTCACATTACAGTGTATATTACAATGATATATATGTAAGTTATGACAGTGCAGAACCATCTCTCTTTCTGTCTTTCCCCAGAAACAGCCATACGCTATGGCTGTTCCTGGAAAAAGACAGAAAGAAAGAGAGAGGTGGCATTCCATTTGAAGCTGGACAAAAGCATTTTGTGCCACCGAGGCTTTCAGTGATCTGAATTGAACAAAGGCATACTCCCAAACAAGATTATTATTCTTCCAAGGGGAAAGGTGATGCCATCCAGAATATGCTTTGAATATGATGAAGTCCTGCTGAGTTGTTGTAGGTTTTTTCGGGCTATATGGCCATGGTCTAGAGGCATTCTCTCCTGAAGTCCTGCTGATTTCGTCAAGAGAGGGCTTGCTGCTTAAGTGTCTCAATGAAATCAGTTCAACTCTAGTTTGCTTTGAATGTCATAAAGTCTTGCTAATTTCAGTAAGAGAGGGATTGCTGCTTAATTCTCTCAGTGAAATCAGTTCAACTCTTGTTTGCATCATTTTTGTTAGATCACACCCCTTGTTTGCACTGCTTCAGGTCTCTGTTGCCATAATGATACACTTCCTCAAGGCAATCCAAAATGAGTGGGTGAATGGCAAGCTTGCTAAAATGTCTGTAAACATGAGTAGTAATGGAAGAGAGTATTAATGTAGTTTT